ACTGGGTCTTCAAGAAACATTGGGGAAAATGCTTTATGCCACTAGAATCAGCTCGTCGAGCTCTATCGATTGGGGTACCTCTCGTTAGCATCTGTGATTAACACTTGGGATAGTTCCCTCGTTAGACTGTACTTTCAGAAAACTAATTTTCCAGAGTCAAACGTTTTTCTTCTCCAAATTCATTTCTGACCTGTAAAAAAAGGCATTATAGATGTGAGCAAGCACGTCACGTGTACTCATACAAATAAAAAAAACATCTGGTATTTGGTAGAGAAAGAAAAAAGGGCACCAACAGACAGACTTTTTCATGTGCACATTTTTCTTCATCTACAACAGATTTTTTCAAATGTTTTCACACTATCAATCTTTCTCAGAGAAAGTCGTTTCAACTGGAGTAATGGAGTTGGTTGTTGTTTAGTTGTAACAGACATCCTTTTTCTCTGTCTAGTTCCTTAATGTTTTAAAATTACCTTTGTCTGAATGAGAAGCAACGTTGTGTCATTCTTTCTTTTTTATCCACTAACTGAAAGTTTTTATATTATTGACGTGCGTCACTTTTTTATTGAAATGCGTCATTGGTACTGCACAACCTAAGAGTCTGTGGATTAAAAATGAGCAGAACCCAAATCTATATTAAAATGTACACTTTAGATTTGGGTTTTGCTTATTTTTAATTCATAGACTCAGGTTGTGCAATATCAATGACGCATTTCAATAAAAAAGTGACGCACGTCAATAATATAAAAGCTTTCAGTTAGTAGATAAGAAAGAAAGAATGACACAAGGTTGCTCTCATTCAGACAAAGGTAATTTTATAACGCCAAGAAACTCCACGGAGATCAAGAATGTCTGTTACAACTAAACAACAACCAATTCCATTATACAATAAAAAGCTGTACGTTGATGGTCAATTTGCACCCTTTTCTGGCTATACTATTGTTTCTCATGCTGTACATCCTTTACCCAAGGAACTACTTCAACTTCACGAATATCTAACGAATAGTGAATTAAAGAACTATTATTCATTTTTACCTGTGCAGAGTTTTCATGTTACAATCAATCCACTGAGTAATGTTAGAAGGGAACACGAACCGCTGATATTGGAACAACAACGTCGATTAAAAGTACAAGGCGATAAAACAAGAACCGAATGTAGAGGAGTGGCAGTAAAATGTGAAAATGTATTACTGATCGAAATTGAATTTGATAAAGAATTTGAAGAGCTAGTACAATCACTTGTCGCAAAAGAATGGTAAAACGGTTTGGGTAAAGCAAATATTTTGTTAAATTACCATTTACAATGGCATTTAACATTGGCCTATCGAAACAAAGATGTCAATGACCAGGTGCATGTAAAATTAAATGAGATTGTTGCACATATTCCACCAAAGATATGTCAGTTTCCAATTAAAATACCGCTTGGGGAAATTGATATATGTCGGTACAATGATATGACAAAATTTACTCCAATTGAAACAACTTTCTCTGAGAAAGATTGACAGTGTGAAAACATTTGAAAAAATCTGTTGTAGATGAAGAAAAATGTGCACATGAAAAAGTCGGTCTATTGTGGCTCTTTTTTCTTTCTCTGCCTAATACCAGATGTTTTCTTTGTTTGTACGGGTACACATGACGTGATTGTTCATATTCATACTGGATAAAATATGAAAAGAGAACGGAATTACCATAAAATGGAAAACGGAAAATTATTTTTGTAACTTTTTCATTTATTAGAGAACGGCATTGAAAAGAGAATGCTTTTTCATATGTTTCTAAAAAGACTGAAAAGAGAATGGTTAAAATATTTCTTTTTCAAACTATCGAAAAAAGAACGGATTTAGATCTTCTTGAGAGAAAAGTATGAGTTTACAAGAAAGAAAGTCACACTACGTAAACTTTTTACTATACTATGTCACGTAAGAGCTGGATTTTTGAAACTCTATGCAAATCACCAACAGATGTTGATACTATTGTTGAACGGTATGAATTAACGAAATTTCGAACCGAATATACACCAGTTGGTGTTAAATATACATATCGATGTGCGTCGTACAAAAATTCCATGGTGCGCTATGCAGCCTCAAGCCACAAGATTACTATTTTTTGATAATACTCAGGCTTACTTAGATGTAAATTTTGCATGATAGTAGAATTTCTATCAATCATTAGGAGAACCTTAAAGAATATCGCGAGGATAACCTGGTTACTAATTAATTAATTAATCTGTTCTCTTTTCAATTATTTTATTTCAGAATTCAAAATCGTTCTCCTTTTGATTTTTTTATTCCGTTCTCTTTTAATTACAAATTTTGACGTAATTATCAAACCGTCCTCCACTCTGTGCAAATTCCGTTCTCTTTTCATTTCCTATCCATCTATAATGTCTTTTTCATTCTTGAAAAGAAGCATTTTCAATTTCATGTACAAGACGTTAACGATTGAACACCAAATGAAACTATCCGCGTGTTTTCACCTATCATTTCAACCTACATACTGTATCACGCGAAGATGGACAATTAATGAGTCTGAAGATTCTGAACATTCGAATGGGTCACTATGTTAATTGATCTAAAGGCAACAGAAGAACAAAAGACATCCTACATTCTACGATGTAGATTAGTAATAGGCTTTATTACTAGTATATGATTACGCACTTAATGCAATTCAGGACATGCGTGATATAGTTATCAGTTTTAATGCTCTCTTGTGTTTCAATCTTCTACCAGTATCACGTGCAAAATTCCTCTCGGAAGATCATATTTTTATCGGATTGCGGACACTCACAAAATATGATTTCATCCCACAGTCGTGACTGGTCCATGTTGAACTTTCTTGCTAAGGATTGTCGGGGAGATGTATAGAAGATGATCCTAAGGTTTGAGACGCTGTCTAATTGAGCAAACATCGAAATGTTCGAAAAATTTAAAAGATTTCAATTTTTTCCGACAATAACTTTGAAGTTTGAACTCCATTTCGAAAGCGATAGGAAGAAGACAGCACATCATTTCTTAGGACGTTAGACGTCCAATGGCGCAAGACTCATTTCCTTTCAATCGGTCTGATGTGGTAAAAACAAGGGGAAAATAATCTCTAATTTTGCTGCACACATTTCGAAGTGTCTCTCATTACCTAGAGCGTTACTTCGTCACTAAAAGCGACACACTGACACAGTTATCCACTTACCCCAATCCACTCTATTAAGCAGGCTGATTTATGCGAAGTTCCTTATACATGAACACGCAAAACGAGAAGTATTAGTATTACATATGGAGGATCCGCTAGGAAATTGCTAAGTTTTATTTTCCTCCGAACTCGCTTACACACGCTGAGCAACGTGACAATAATTATATTTGTATGTGCTGTCACTAAGTAATGTGACCTATTTTACATGCCGCTGCTCAGATGAAGAACGTAACTCGCATTCTGCTTATTATTCAAGATGAAGCTCGTTAAGACCTAGCGGTACGTGAGCCGCTCATGTTTGGGGAAGAAGTTTCATCTTTAAGTCGAAAGGTCTAGACAAGTTGCCAGTAAATTGCGCATAGAATGGATAAATTTATATAGTTCTGTTTTGAGTGAACTCTTATTTAATACTATAGACAAAATAGTGAAATGTGCTTCTTTCGGAAACTTCGGGAGGCTGCAGAAAAAGAACATAACTCGATAAGATGAATGAAATGCAGTATATGATCTCTTATTAAAGTACTCTATGAAAGATATACCGAACACTTTTCTGAATGCCTTAAAAATAGCGGAATATTGGGATAACAGTGCGAAGCTTCAATCTCAATTACTTCCCAATCCAAAAACACAGTTTTATCAATTTTAGGCCTTGTTATTTAGCAACAGAGAAGAAGAGAAGATAGCCACTTTGTAGCATTCAAAAATCTATGAAATGACACTATTTTAAATTCTTTATCATCACAACAGGTAGAGAGGGAATTTTTTACTTTTTTGATCTTAGGAAGAGCTGACCATTTTCAAATCTTGTTGTATCTCTAAATCTAACATACTTTTCACCATGTTCTTTTATTTCAAAAGGATGTGGAAAAGTGTTCAGTATGTTTTTCGTCGAGAATTAGATGACGCATCTTTTAAAAGATATTCAGGCTTTGCCATATTTCTGAGCTGAGATATATTTAAAAAACAAAAAGCGACCAGTAGTTTTGGAACACCCTATATAAGTACTATCTATATCCGTCTTTTTTTGTTAGAATTTTTATTATTGTAAGCTAACTTTTTGTCTATGTTATGTTTGCCATAAGGATAAATCTGCATATGTACGTTTTATGCACAAGTAGATAGATATATTGCGTCTTGTATCATACACTAGATTGTAGATACCATACACTTCACCACTTAGAGTGTCATCTCGTCACTTACAGTCATAAGTGCACACACTTAAAGTGAGTTTTTCCCCGTTAGGTAAAAATAACTAATTAACAACTGGCAGCCATTACTAAACAAAATGTGCTAGTTTTAACGTTTCCATTATTCAGAAAAGTTACATCAAACGTTTCGCACATGAGTCCAGTAGTCCAAGCATTTGTCTTCAAAATGACGCAAGAATGAGCCTGATTGGCTCTGTTTTGTCTGAGCAATATTCATTTTACAAACAGCCCCAAAATACGGATTGAAAAAACTGAAAAAAACCGTCATAGGGCTTTTGCAAAAGTCAGTACTAAAACCACAGAAATAACGTTAGAAAATCGTATTATAGCAAATCGGTAGAGATTTTTAAGGGCTACATTTTGGCCTACTTGCTCCTGACACAGCGCATACGTTCAACTGGTTGTAGGACAGTTGCTCGTATGAACTGATCTCACCAGGATAGGTGATTATGGGACACTTGCTCACGAGGAACATAAAGTAGAAAAGATGTTTTGTGAAAGTCAAATGTTATTCAGAACCATAGGTAAAATTTAATGACAATATAAAATGAGGGATAGCACACAACCATACAAATTCACAAATGAATGGCGAATGTTTTGGTACTACGATGAACTCTGAGTTTAAAGGGAGAGGAGAAAAACTGAAAAAAAATACTATGACATTCTTTATTTTAAGGCGCCGCTAATTCGAAATTCGAGTGGAATAGCTTCTCGCTTTTAAAGCGCATATTCTGATTCGTCAGAAGTTGCTGATCACGAATCCTACCTTAGTTTTTCGATCTGATCGAGTTTTCATGGAGAAAAGTGCAAAACAAGGGGTCAAAAACCGCAAAAAACTGACTTTTCAAGAAAACGTAGTTATCGCGTCAGCGTT